CTAGTCTTCAATTTACTAGACTGAAAATGCAAAAAATCATCACTGTCCTGAAAGGTCTGGAAAAGTAGAATTATAAATACATAATACTAATTGCTTTTCTGTCCATACAAACTCTAAAACCCGGGGCCAGACACGGTGGCTCACGCTTGTAATCCCAGCACTTTGGGAGGCCGAGGTGGGCAGATCACCTGAGGTCGGGAGTTCAAGACCAGCCTGACCAACATGGAGAAACCCCATCTCCACTAAAAATACAAAATTAGCTGGGCGTGGTGGCCCATGCCTGTAATTCCAGCTACTAAGGAGGCTCAGGCAGGAGAGCTGCTTGAACCCAGAAGGCAGAGGTTGCGGTGAGCCAAGATTGCACCACTGCACTCTAGCCTGGGCAACAAGGGCGAAACTCCATCTCAAAAAAAAAAAAAGAAAAAGAAAAAAAACTCTAAATCCCTAATACTGCACAGTATTCTCAGCATTTCCCCCTACTTTTAACATTTTTTAATCTGCCCACTCAGAAAATTTAAAGAAAGACACACATAAAATTAGAGACCTTTCAGTTCAGAGACTGTATGTGTGTTAGAGGGAAGGGACAGATTAAAGTTGGGAGGGAAGCAAAGAGGTTATCAAAAGATTTGGACTGAAGACCAGGTTTCACCTAGAACTAGCTCTAGTTAACATGGAGACACTCACCTTACTCTAGACTTTAGTTTTCTCCTCTATATAATGAGGGGATTACTGGACTTGGAAAAAAGACCAGTGAATTCCAAATTAATACATTTGATCTTCACTTAGTTCTTTCAGAGTTTTAGTGTTTACTCAACACTTCCAGTTCATATAAAAATTACAGCTGAGGGCTGGGCACGGTGGCTCATGCCTATTAATCTCAGCACTTTGGGAGGCTGAGGGAGGAGGATCACTTGAGGTTAGAAGTTCAAGACCAGCCTGACCAATATGGAGAAATCCCATCGCTATTAAAAATACAAAAAAGTAGCCGGGTGTGGTGGCAGCACCTGTAATCCCAGCTACTTGGGAGGCTGAAGCAGGATAATCACTTGAACCTGGGAGGCAGTGGTTGCGGTGAGCTGAGATCACACCATTGTACTCCGGCCTGGGAAGAAAAAATGAAACTCTATCTCAAAAAAAAAAAAAAAAAAAACAGAAAAGAAAAAAAAACTACAGCTGAAAATGAATCAGGGAATTACTAGTAGGTAGTAAACTGGTAGTTGAAATAAAATAAAATCTGAACAAAGTATGATTTTAAAAAAAAAAAAGAAGGAAAGAAACCTTACCCTTCTCTTCTCTAGTTTTATAAGCCTGTTAACCACTTTGACAGTAAAAGGTGAACGAATGATTGGTAATGTCCTCCATAATAGGTTAAAAAAATGAATTATAACTCATTCTTGTATTTCACACAGGCAACATTAGCTGAAAAGAATCTTAGCCGGGTATGATGGGTACACCTGCAGTCCCAGCTACTCAGGTGGCTGAGGCAGGAGGATTAACTGAGCCTGGGAGGTCCAGGCTGCAGTGAGCCATAATTTCATCACTACATTCCAGCCTGGGCAGCAGAGTAAGACCTTGTTTCAAAATAAACAAACAGTCTTCATCAGAAACATCAAAGAGGCCAGGCATGGTGGCTCACACCTGTAATCCCAGCACTTTGGGAAGCCAAGGCAGAAGACTCAGGAATTTGAGGCCAGGAATTTGAGACAGCCTAGGCAACAAAGCAAGATCCAGTCTATATTTTAAAAAAGAAAAAGAAACATGAAATAAGAATGCATGCAGATCATCAAATAAGTAGTTAGCTCTTAAAAATCGTCACTAAATACTAAATTAATAAGTTTTTGAAAATGCTAATGAAGTCAAACATATGACCCAGCAATTACACACCTAGATATACCCAAGGGAAACAAAAACATGTCCACACAAAAACCTGTATATGAATATTCACAGCAGCTCTAGTCATAATATCTCAAAAGGAGAAACTCAAATACCCATCAATTGAACAGATTAATAAAATGTAGTCGATCCATACAATGGCATTTTATTTGGCAATAAAAAGGAACAAAGTACTGGTAACATGTTGTAACATGGATGAACCTTTTTATTATGCTAAATAAATGAAAAAAAAATTCACAAGAATCCACATATTATATGATACCTTTTACATGCAATGTCCAGAATAGGCAAATCTATAGAGAAGAAATTAAGCTGGTGGCTGTTGCTGGGGCAGTAATGAGGTTTCCTTCTGGGATGATGAAAATGTTCTACAATTAGATTATTGTGATGGTTGTACAACTGTAAATATTCTAAAAATCAATGACTTAACTTTAAAACAGGTGAACTTTATGGATGGAATGCAATCTCAACAAAGCTGTTTAAAAATACAAATTAAGGCATAAAAATTGGGATGACCAGATACAGATTAAGAGTGGCTGATTTGCAAGAGAGGTTCTGGATTTAAGTAGCAAAGGGAGACCTGATAATAGACACAGTACTTCGGGTTCTGTAAGAAGCCTGAATAAATTTACGTTTCTCTATCCTAGCACTCTAGGAATTAGGACTATAAATTTACACAGGAGACAATCAGTTCTTCAGTCACACTTTACCTAAACTGTCTCCCAAATCCTACAGAAGTTTATCACCTTTTTTTTTTTGAGCTGGAGTCTCGAACTGAAGCCTGGGCTAGAGTGCAGTGGCGCTGTGACCTCGGCTCACTGCAACCTCCATCTCCCGGGTTCAGGGGATTTCTCCAGATGCAGCCTCCCAAAGAGCTAGGATTACAGACGCCCAGCACCATGCCCAGCCAATGTTTTTGTATTTTACGTAGAAACTGGGTTTCACTACGTTTGCCAGCCTGGTCTCGAACTCCTGACCTTGTGGATCTGCCTACCTCAGATTACAGACATGAGGCACCGCCCTGGCCAGTTTACCATCTTTAGTATAAATCGATTAAGCCAAAACTTCTCTTTCCCAAATCCTCAAATCTGATTTTAACAAGAATAAGAACACTTCATGTCACAATTCAGGGAAATTTCAGATAATCGGGGAAATTTCACATCATCAAGATGGACACACATCTAGGGAAAACGGATGAGGGATATAAGGAATCAGGAAACTCAAATCTACATTTCAGAGACTGGGTATTTGAAAAACTGCACAATGACATGAAGTAGAACTGCGCCATAAACTCAGACTTCCTACAAAAGTCATCTATGGCATACACTGTATACAAAATTTAATCATCTGCTGATTACATTTGCAGGAGATATGTTAATTCTGACACAGAGCCAAGGCTGAGAATCACCACCACTTACTAGGTGTGTGACCTGGAGGAAGTTACTTCTCAAAATCTCATGTTTTCTCAATTCTAAAATAAAGTAACAATACCCATTTGAAAAGGTGGTTGTGTGACGGGACATATTTTATGAAAACCCTTAGCACAGTGCTTGATTCACAGTAAGAACGCAACACTGTTCTCTATAGAATGTGAAAATGAAGTGAATTTTGGTAGCTCATCAGCCATAACTAATAACAAAATAATTATCATACTTAATATAACTATCATACTATTTCTAGGCGAAGTGACTAAAAAGGGTTCACAAATAGATGAAATACATTACCCAAGTGTTAAAAATAAACTGGTTCCTACCTCTTGCCACCTTAAAAAAAAAAAATCACTGTACCTCTCTGAACTGTATTTTAATCAATTCCAAAAGAACACACAATAGTTGTAGGAGCTACCTGACCAGATCCTATCGAATTTAATTCCAATTCCAGCAATAAGAATTGGTTGGGAACTGCTCCCCTCTAAAACCACTCATTCCAGACAAGCATGATTGGTTTTAGCTGATTGTATAGCTTTCTTTGCATTTCATGGACAAAAACCAGAAAGCTCTCGTCACTATTAACTTAAATCTTGGGCAACTGTTTCTTAATTTATCTTAATCTTGAAAATCACCTATCAAAAGGTCCACTCCGTTTTCCTCTTAAATCACTATGTGGCTCATCTCAGCACTGCCCCTTTCCAGCCTACAATCAGCAGCCCATGAGGAAAGCTGCAGTAAATGGATGGATGAACAAGTCACAGGCAGACAATTTCTGCCCAGAATGCGTAACACAGCACAGACGAGTGCAAGAACCACGGTGATAGTCGTTTGCTTTGATTCAGAACTGCCACCGGACAGACCTAAGATAAGCACCAGGCGCATTACATAATGAACTTAAATATTGTTATTCCCATTTTACAGACAGATTCAGGGGCTTAGGGGACCTAGGCAAGGTCACACACCCTGTAAGTGGTGACGCTACGATTCAGTCTCATTGCTTTTTTGTTTTTCCCAGAGACCAAGCTCTTTCCATTACACTGCCAAGCTCGCGCCCCTCGAGAGCGCTTGTTGGAAGCGCAACCCTCGCCCGCCCCCCCCCCCCCCCCCCCCACTCCACAGGTGCGCTGCAGGAGCCGCCAGGGAAACCCGGCCCTGGCCCGCCGAGGCCCGGACGGCCCCGCAGGCCGAGACCGCAGCCTTCGGGTCCCGAGGCACCGCTCCAGGCGAGAGCGCCAGCTCGACCCCCGCGCCCCATTGTTCCGGATCTCACTCACCTCGGAAGATGCCGGCGCAGGCCTGGCTGGGGCGCTCGCCGCAAGCTCCCGGCGGCCCAGAAAGCTAGGTCGGTGACGGCAGGATCCGCGAAGGCGTACCCGGCGACTTCTCCGCCTACCCTCCGAAGCGGGAGCAGGCGGGGGCGCTTCACCCTCCTCGCGAGACAGCGGAGACCCCAGCGGCGGCTGCGACCCCTGTGACGCAAAGTGCTCATCACCAATGGCAGCTCCGAAGCAGGGCAGAGAGCGAGACCCACCCCCCAGCTCCCGGCGCGTCAAAACACAACACCCGCCTTCGTCACGCATGCGCAGCAGACGCGCGCCAGCCTCGAGGGCGGGGCTCAGCGCGCCGGCCGAAACGCGGCCCCTCCCCCGCGGCGCCAGACCCGGGATGAGCGACCCTCCCAGGCTGAGAGCACGACCCTCACCGTCACTAGTACTCAGCCGCTCGGGACACTGGCTGAATGTTCGCCCCTAACTTACCCAGAAAACACAAGAACTAGTTCGACGTCGTTTCAAGCTCACCAAACTCTGCGGGAAGTTACGAAACTATCTAGTGTCTAGATAGGGAAACTGTTACATGGACGTGAAGTCTAACCTCCTGTTGCATATCTCCCGGAAGCAAGACCGGGAGTCCAACGGGATCCAAAACCAGTATCCTATAAAGTCTTCAGAGAGGGATCCCCTCCAAGCTGGGGAGAAACAGGACAGCCCAACAAACAGGGCCTGGACTCTTCCCCAAACAAAACACGTTTTTCTCCGCTTTTCCCCTTCCCACTCCCTGAAATCTAGACACTCTTTTAAGATAATTGAGAGGTATAAAGAACGTCTAGAGCCTAAAGCGGCCCGTTGCCAGATTCTACTCCTCAGACCTTAAATGTGAGCGTCCCAAACATTCTAGAGCTGAACCTGGTCCGCTCGCCCGCCAAACTGCCGTGCTTGAGTCTTAGTATCTCACGCGCGGCCGTTGAAGGGCATCAGACACGCTCAACAAACACTTGTTGCTTGATTGGTACATTATGGCGGCTAACGCGTCCCACCTATTTCTTCTAAGAGATATTATTTTTACATCAAGTTATACGTTTAAGAATGGCTCGATTTACAGGAGTTCCCACAACGATTTGTCACATATAAAAGAGTGGGTGCTATTTTTAAGTCAAAGATGAACAGACGAACGTCCATCAAAATCGTGTGGTATCAGATGCAGGCGGGGCGGGGGAGAAAGCGTTAATTCTTCGAGCGTTAGACGCCGATGTAATATTTAAAACAGATTGCTTTCCAAACTAACTTTTAAATGGACACGACAGCACCTTATCCTGCACCACTAATGCATTGCAACTAGAAAGAAAACCAGTGGAAGCACGCCTATCTTGATCTCTCTAATTGGAAAGAAAAAAAATTAACATTTTCTCGTTTATTTCTTCCCTTCTCTAAAAGGCGGGCTAGGCCCCCAATCACGTGATCCCGCGCCCAACTCCGGGCGGAAGAGGCAGGCGAAAACGCTGCACGAAGCGAGTGGGCGGGCGCTCGTGCCCGGTTGAAAGATGGCTGCCGCCGCTAAGCAGCCACCGCCTGGGAAGTTACTCTGAGGCCCGCAGCTCCCGCCGGCTCCCGCGGACCGCTGCCGCCTCCTTACCATGAAGCCAGTGAGTCGTCGCACGCTGGACTGGATTTATTCAGTGGTAGGTCCCGGGGCTCGCGAGGCTCCACCGTCTCGACTCACTGGGCCTGCAGGCATAGGGCCCTATTTCTTCAGCACCCAGTAACTCCAAAATCCATTCTTGAATTAAGCATTTCACTCCCTCACCTCGACTCCGCCTCTTCCTGAAGGATACGATCTTCCGCTTCTTACGTAAGGGCTGCTGGGTGTACCCGCCACGGGAACCCCCTTTATTCGACTTTGTTACTGTAATTCCCACCTTAGCAATGGCACATGGTAACCTGACCGGGGCGAAGGGAAATATCAGACAAATTACAGTAATTTTTTTGGCTTTCACACCTCTTTTGCGGTTTTTGGTTATTTTAGTTGCTGCTTGCCATCGTTTTAATCTCCTGGGGCTACGTCATCTATGCATCAACGGTGGCTGCAAGACGACAGCTAAGGAAGAAATACCCAGACAGAATTTTTGGGACGAATGAAAATTTGTAACTCCTCTGGATTTAATTCTCTGCAAATAACATTTCTTTCCCTCATGCTTATGTAGATTTAAAAATAAAATTCATAATGCAAAGTTCCCAAGTTTATTTTTGCATTATCCTTTATAATAAGCACTAGTATGCAAATTTTTCAAATAGAAATTTTAGTATTTTACCTTCTCATGACAAAATACAGCAACCGAGATCCGAAACAGTCTTTGAGTATCAGATCATAGTTAGCATAAGCTTTTCAATCAAGTTTCTAAATTCTTTTAAATGGCTCAGAAAGATTTCTTTAAAACAAAAGTGCTGGACTTTCTGTTCTTATATTTGTTTATTGCGATATTTCACTCTGCTGCATATACCCTGATACCAAATTAGAGTAAGTACTATGTAAGGAAAAAAACCTAACATGTAACTAAATACATTTCCCTATCCTGTTTTCCAAGTCGAGAACAGCCACAAAAAGTAAGTGGTCTCTGGTATTTGCTTAGTATGTTTAGTTTTTATTTATTGTTAAATTACTCAGTCTCAAATTGTACAATGCTTGAAAAGAAGTATGACAATTTCTGAGATTAAACTTTATTCAGTCACTCTTCCAGAAAATTCAGTAAATATGATAATGTAGGAACAAACTTAGGCTCATAAGCCTTTTAAATTTTTACATAATCTTTAATGATGTTGATCAGGAAATTCTTTCATTGGTGGAATTACTTCTCCAGTCTCCACAATTGTATCACCCTAGAGAAACAAAGATACAGTTAGTAGAAGAATCTTAAGTCTACAGAGATGATAGTTCTATTCTGTTCCATGTTCATCAGACCTCACATGGAAAATGTAGTTGAGTTCTGGCATTTACTTTAAAAGGACCCCAGACAAAGTAGAAGCTGTCTAAATCTGAACAACCAGTATTCAATATCTTAAGGTACAGTGAAATCATAGGGAAATTTTCACTTAGAAGCAAAATAACCAAAAAGGGAATGAAAATTGTGTTCTCCAAGTGATAAAGGGATAATCTTTTATTTTGTATGGCCCCAAGAAATGGAGGCCCTAGAAATAAGTTGCAAGGAAACATGCAGAGTTCCAGATAAAGAGTTCACTCCCAGCAACTGAATATGTGTAAAGCAACCAGTTTTTTGATTGGCTTACATATTGAATACAGAACACAAACTTTGGCTGGGCAACTGGTCCAGGTCTTTTCAATCCTAGATAACTGTGTGTGGGCAAAAAGGCATGGGCTTTGAAGCCAGACCAAGTGGTGAGAATCTTAGAACCTCCACTGGCAAGCTGCATCGTTTTAGACAGATTATTCAGCTTCAGTTTCAGCCCTGTGTTTAAGATAACAGATTCTGTCAGCCTGCCAGTGCCTGAATGACTGCTTAGAGTAGAATTTTCCCTAACCCCACCCCAATCCCTGCCTTTCCCTGACCTGGTACTGCTCAGGATTATAATACAATGAAAAAATAAATGTATTATGTTTAAGCCATTATACATTTGGGCAACAATTTGTTACCACAGCTAGCATTATCCTAACAGAAATTAGTGCCTTGAAGTGGCACTAATGCAGCTGTAACAAAAATCAAGCTATGCCGGCCGTGGTGGCTCACGCCTGTAATCCCAGCACTTTGGAGGCTGAGACGGGCAGATCACGAGGTCAGGAGATCAAGACCATCCTGGCCAATATGGTGAAACCCCATCTCTACTAAAAATACAAAAAAATTAGCTGGGCATGGTGGCACACGCCTATAGTCCCAGCTACTCAGGAGCTGAGGCAGGAAATTGCATGAACCCAGGAGACGGAGATTGCAGTGAGCTGAGATCAGGCCACTGCACTACAGTATGAGTGGCAACAGTATGAGACTCCGTCTCAAAAAAAAAAAAAAACAAAAACAACAACAACGAAAAAAAACAAATCAAGCTGTAGGGCACTGGCTTAGCAGTCTGGTAGCAAAGATAAAGGCACTGGAGGCTAAAAGATGGAAACCAAAGGCAGTGGCAAACTATTTAGCAAAATATCTCCTATAACTTGGAAGCAGACTGCCTGATGAACTTGAGGTTCTAGGAGAAGTAGCTGGAAAAAAAGTTACAGTATGTGTTCGGATACTATTGGCTACCTTGGGAATGTACTTTAAGAAGCATGAGCTCAGGGAAAAAGTGGCTGATTTGAGAGGAGACATAAAAACAGAGGAAGAGAGAACACCCTTGGTCCACACTAGACTTTCTGTTCCTGACCAAAAAAAAAAAAAAAAAAAATTTAATGTGGAGAATCTAAAAATTCGGGCCAGTCATGGTGGCTCATGCCTGTAATCCCAGCACTTTGGGAGTCCAAGGCAGGATGATTGCTTGAGGTCCAGAGTTCAAAACCAGTCTGGGCAAGAGTAGGACCCTGCCCGCAAAAAATAAATAAATAAAAATTAAAAATGAGGACCTTGTAGCGTTGAAAAATCAGACTATTTCAGACTTCCTAAACAATAAATTAACACAAGAGATTCTGAGCAACAGAAGCCCAATAAAACTCAAACAGAGGGATGCAGCCCTATGGCAAAGATCAGATTAAAGCGAAGGCAGCCTTTGAACCAGTCTGCCTCAGATGCCTCCACACAGCTGCCACTGAGGTGAGAGAGGCAGATGCATGAGGACAAAAAAATAAGAGAAGTTGGTAACTATGTATAGGAAGAACAGATACTGGAATGAGAAAATGACTAGAAGTAAGCACATTAGATACCTACCAAATATTTTTCTTTCCATGCCTCCAAATGTTGAGGGAAATGAATGGACACATAAACCAAACACAGAATTTACAAAATCCTGCCAGAATGTTTGAAATTAAAACAACGTATGGCATTCAACCTCCTGCAAGCAGGTGGCAGATTTTGATGCCCATACAACCTCTAAGGAGGGCATGCTTCCCACTACCATTTAGATGTGGTCTACATTGATAATGAAAAGAACAAACCTCCTGGACAGAGCCAGCAACCAGGAAAAACTATGGACAAAGGTGTTCGTTCCAGAAAACAAAATCAGTACCCATTCAAGTAACTTCCCACACACAGGGGTTAGGAGTAAGATTTCAGAATTGCCAAGAACCAGTGACTACTATGCTATCCAAATTTTACCACTGAACAATGGGTGTGGTTGGAGGACAAGGATACAGTTAACTTGCCTTCTTAGTTCACTGACCTGAGATCAACAGAAGTCATCTAAATCTGACATACTATTGTACGTCATCTGGAGATCATGGATTTGGGGCCAGCTGCAGTGATAGAATGGGACTTTGGGATTTCTCCCTAAGGAGAGGGACTAAGTGTCTTATGCATGTGTAGAGAAAGAAGCAAAGAGATGTTTGGTGACTAGAAGGATGGAATGTAGCAGAAACTCCATGAACAGTAGTCTGGGAAAAGGAAAGAACACACCGATAGTATATGGGAATATTAGAATGAATTCTGGCCAACAGAATTTGAGCAGAAGTAATGTAAGCTACTTCCAGGATTAGACCCTAAAAATCATCCCTGAGATGCCCTGCCTTCTCTTTCTGTCATGATCTTGGAACCTCATATTCACGAGGCATGGCTATAAGATTCAAGAGGATCACCTCATCCACAGAGTCTGTGATGTCAACAAGAAATAAACCTTTGTTTTGTTAGGCCATTGAGATTTGGAAGTTTTTTTATTACCTATTCTATTCTAAACATATATACAATGACCATTCTTCAGTTCCTCAAAGGGGTCATGGCACAGAAACAGGAAAGAACCACAGTGACAAAAAATACAGAAACATAAGAAATGCTACAGGATGCCTGATGTGATCTTCTGAAATTCAGAGCTCTCCTTTTCCTTTGAACAGTAATGACAAAATAAATTAAAAAATAAACATTTAAATGGAATAAATAGAAGACTAAATAAATGTAAATTGCCCAACTGGTGAAACCAGCAAGATAACTTCCTATTTTGAGACTACCTAGGCTGTAATAAACATCAATATTACACAATAAAACAAAGGAGAAATCCCTTTTTTTTTTTTTTTTTTTTTGAGACAGGGTGCTCTGTCACCCAGGCTGGAGGGCAGTGGTGCAATCTCAGCACACTGCAACCTCTGCCTCCCAGGTTCAAGCGATTCTTGTGCCTCAGCCTCCCCAGTAGCTGGGATTACAGGTATGTACCAGCATGCCCAGCTAATTTTTTATTTTGAGATGAAGTTTCACCATGTTGGTCAGGCTGGTCTCAAAATCCTGGCCTCAAGTGATCCACCTGCCTCCACCTCCTAAAGTGCTGGGATTATAGGCGTGAGCCCACCGTGCCTTGCCCCCACTTCTTTTCTTTTTTCTGAGACAGAGTCACTCTGTGACCCAGGCGGGAGTGCAGTGGTGCAATCTCAGCTCACTGCAACCTCTGCTTTCCAGGTTCAAGTGAGTCTTGTGCCTCATCCTCCAGGTAGCTAGGATTACAGGCATGTACCATCACACGCGGCTAATTTTTGTATTTTCTTTTTAGTAGAGACGGGGTTTCACCATGTTGGCCAGGCTGGTCTCAAACTCCTAACCTCAAGTGATCCACCCACCTCAGCTTCCTACAGTGCTGGTATTACAGGCATGAGCCACCACACCCGGATACCCCCCTCTTATTTCTTAAAGCAGAGTTCCACCTGGGACAATTGGCCAGTTTTGGTGCCCCTTCCTAAAATTCCCTTGTTGCAACAGACAATGATGACTGTGACTAAGTCATTTGATTAAAGCAAGAATGACACTAAGTTTTGTTATTTAAATTATGGAATTTTGAGTTACAACAGTTCATTCATTATCTGTGACTAGAAATAGACAAGAACATAACATGTATTCTACTATGCTAAACAGTAACCTCACCAACAGTAAAAATACCAACTGACTACTGAGTCATCTTTTAATGCTAAAATAACTCATTTTAAATTGGTACTATGGCTCACACACTCATAGTATAAAGTTTAACATACATTTAGTGGATGTTAAATTCACAGATGGAGAACTTGAAGGCAAATCTTGAATATGAAGTACAAAGCCATAGGACATGAGAGTTTGGAAGTAATAACAGAAATTCAGTTGCTGTCACCATGCATGGATGTTTGCTTAG